TGGAAGCATTCAAATCCCAGGACGGTGTCTGCTGTTGTACCCGTGAGCGAAGCAATTAACCTGGATTGCTCCGCCGAAATAGGCAGCAGTAAGACAGGGGAGGCAGGGTAGGCCGCTTGGAATAAAAGCGGCGACGTCAGTCCCGGATCGTTTCCTCCGGCGTTCCTTTGATCAGCCCCGAAACATGCCGGAAAAGGGAGCAGCGTGAGTGGGCCCCCAAAACAGACATCCGCACACCACGCGTTCAGCCGCTAACGAAGGAGGGAAGGAATTTTCTGGAAAAACGTTGATGCAGGCAATTCCCATTATCTACCTGCCACTCATGTATATATATATAAATATCCTCCGAGTCAGACCCACTGTCACTCTGGGGCTGCATCTTTCTTTAGGCGAACAAAACGCAGAGAAACAGAGGCTGTCTGCAAAGGCACCACAGCACGACGCGGGAGCAAACGGCACAGCGACAAATCCCACGTAACACGCTGGCTTTTTCCGTTACAGCCATGTTAGTGCCGGCAGCATTCTAAACCGAGGCAGGATATACGAAGAAAAAAATAACAACAAAGAATGATGTCAAGAGAAAAAAAATACATATTCCAAAAGATCAGTGCAAAGCCGGAAATAAGTGGGATAAGTAAAACCAAACAAGGTTACAAGCGGCATGATAAAAAGTCCTCTTTAATCTTCTCTTCCCAGCTGCCATGCTGGGAGATCTGAGAAAAGGTGCACACAGCATCTGTAACCTACTGTTCAGGTCCAAAGTGTGTCGGAAAGACCTCAGCGGGCAGCTGGGCAACAGGGCCATCATAGCCGAGAGCTACGATCAACGGCCGAGCGACACATCTTTCGGAATATTAATATGGCAATGTGGCTCTGTGGTGAAACTGAACCAGCCACTTCTAAGCATCTTGAAGTCTTTAAAGTAATTTCACATCCCCTGTAAGAGGATCCGTACCTGATTCCAGATAGCAAAGCGAGACCAAGAGTAGGACAGACCCATGCCGGTCACCCTGCAAACTCTGACAGGAATCCATAGTTTCCGGGTCACGCCATCCAGCCCCCCTAGACAATCCCCCCGCCCATCTCCTGCAGACATTTTTTTTTACTGGGGTGGCCATTATATTTTGGAGCAGAATGTCTATTTTTTGGCTCCCCTTAAAAAATGCAATTATATATTGTATATGTTTTATTATTTTAATGCGGAGTGGCAACTGGGGGGGGGGGGGGGGGCACATATTTACTCAGATCCACCCCCTGCTTCCCCCCCCTCCCCCCCACAAGGTCCTGCAATCAAATAGAGGAAGACACATAACGGCAGGGATGGTGCTCGCCGGGAATAAAACCCGAAGCAGGAATTTCTCCTAAAAACAGGGAGGCTAAAAATGAGCTTCAGTTATTAAAGCTGAAAGAGGCTGAGAGACGTCACAGTCATGAGAGAGAGGAAAGGGCTCTCCACCGAACAGGGTGGGGCGTCTCTGCGGCGGCGGGCGACCTCACAGGCCCTGTTACCCAGTGACCCCCACAACGCCATCCCGCTCCCCCCTATTAAAAATGCATGAGGAAGACACCACACTGAGACACTGAGACACCGAGACAGCGGCTTTGTAGCCCCCACAACTGTCCCTGTCGGTTAACCGGCTTCCATTTCCAAAAACCGCTTCTACTGTTTGGTTTACAACCACCACCCACATTCCCCAAAGGACACCCCCCCCCCCATGTTTCTGACCTGGCTGACCTAATGTCTCTTCTCGTCCCGACTCATTCACACACACACGCACCCTCAACTGTGACACCCTCCATCTCTGGGGCTGATAATGGTTGGTGAGCCATTTCCCTTTCGGTCTGCAGGCTGTTTTCTGGCCTAATCATGCTCTGGTTCAGAGACCTGTCTTCACAGCTCCTCGATGTTTTATTTCACCTGTACCTCAGGATAACATTTTTGGACAAAAGCAGCCCCCGGGGGAATTTTTTTTTGGGGGGGGGGGGGGCGGGCATCCATGGACCGGAGTACAGGACAGGGTGAGATCTGAGGATCTCTGATTCCATACCACATGCGGTCATCGCCTCTGAGTTGGCCTGAAGAACATATGATTCTACCTGACTGAAGAAAAAATAGCAATCGGGGGCTTGGTCCTGTTCAAGCAACAGCCTGGAAGAGTCCCATCGTGCTCCGGGCTCCCTGAAGGACGGAGTAATCAGTCAGACCCCGTCGCTTTCCTTCCAGGTCAGGCGGCAGTAAATCTCCCCGGCCGGCTGACCGCAGGGGAAGATGCCACAGTGGCGCAAGCGAGCTGAGCACCAGGGAAAGCCGTCAAGTAACGGACATACTGCCGATCATCTGCAGCAGCACCTCGGGGACCCCCGTGACGTCATCTCAGCCCCTAGCTGTCCCCTGAAGGGCCTGCCTGATGGCACCCCAAGTTGTGTCAGGAGACCTAAACAACCCGACCAGCTCCCTGGGTCTCTCCTTCTCACACATCTCCTAGGGGGACCAATCCCAGAGCGGGAAGCCTTCCTTCAGAATAGAAGCCTTCTTCTGCGCAGTCAAGCCCGTTGCCACGGCAGTGGAGGCTCCACCCAAACATAAAAGTCCAGCCATTCTCCGCAGGTTAGTGCAATTACTGGCTGAATGGGAATTTTTCATATCGGATTTGCATTGTGCAGAGTTCAATTACTTCTGCTGACAAAGGCTAAAGTTAGAAGCAAGGGGGGGGGGCATGGATATCTCCCTTGCGAAAATAGCAATACTACCGGCATTAAAGCCCAGCATTTTGTGCCGTTTAGCATTATTAATGTTCTCATTTCACACCTTGTGCTTGGTCGACAAACTCAGCAGTTAGAGAGGAACAGTGAGGAAGTTCCTTCCTCGACATGACGAGTCCTGGACGAGTCCTCGCTGCTCTGACTCTCCACGGTCTCTTAAGGCTGAAAACACCATTCAGGATAATCCCATCATTCAGGTACAGGGCACTGCTCCTGCACTTTTAAATGCTGAATAACTCCAAAAGCATGGCTGGAGTTTGGGGGGGTAGTGTGTGTGTGTGTGTGTGTGTGTGTGTGTGTGTGTGTGGGTTATGTGTGCATCAGATACATGCATTAAAATATAGGGTAAGCATGATGTCCCGCCCCCCCCAAAAAAAGGTGTAAACATCAAACTCCACCTATATGCTCAAAAGATCTGCCAGTTACTGTCACTGGGAGCTGAGGCTGAACGAGGACCTGGAAAGATCCACAGTGGGCAGACAAAATCAGCCAAACGTGGCTCTCCAGCAGAGCGACAAACATGTAAGGAGATCTTCTCCCACCTGGAACCAAAAAGCTTCTGCTAGCTTCTGCCAACTCATTCATGCTCCACGTCTCCCCCAACTGAGAGGAATCGGGGGGGACAGCTCAGGGACACCCCATAAGAGAGAAAAGTGCCACCTCAATGTTATGGTTGAACTGCCCACCAGGGTCCCAAACGCTGGAAGAATGATGGGAAAGGTGGGGGGTGGGGGGACCTCATGGCGTGCCTCTGTTCTGCACGGCGAGGGCCGTCCGTGAGGAGGGTCACCTTCCAGCCCCCTTTCCTCACACAGAGGGAGCAGAAAGACAGGCGACGCTGATCAGAGCATCTTTAATATTTATGGGAGTCGCGCCCAGCAGCACACTGGCCCCCAATCCCATTTCCTGTGGTCCTGCCACTCTGAGGTCCCTGTAGGCCGGCAGAAGCCCTCCACACTCACTCACAGAGCGCTGGGCCCCCCCACACTCACTCACAGAGCGCTGGAGCCCCTCACACTCACTCACAGAGCACTGGGCCCCCCCACACTCACTCACAGAGCGCTGGGCCCCCCCACACTCACTCACAGAGCACTGGGCCCCCCCACACTCACTCACAGAGCGCTGGGCCCCCCCACACTCACTCACAGAGCGCTGGGCCCCCCCACACTCACTCACAGAGCGCTGGGCCCCCCCACACTCACTCACAGAGCACTGGGCCCCCCCACACTCACTCACAGAGCCCAGTGCCTATGTGCACAGTCACACCCCCTCCCTGTGCCACCAGCCATTCTTTTCTGTGTCAGAGACAAACTGATAACAGCTTTTCCGTTTATCAGTCATTATCATCTTCGGAGTTTTGGTTGTTTCAGGTTATCACCTGAAAATGGGAGTCAACAGAACACAAAGGAACACAGAAAAAGGACCTTCAGAAAACTGAGGGGTCATCTGGGACCCCCCCCCCAACCCACAACAGCCTGGTCTCTTGGCCACTTCAGCAGGTGACATCATATATCGGCACCCATCAGCCCCCGAACATGAAACAGGCCTTCATCGCATCCATTGCCGCACTCCATTTTCGCATTTCAGCAGTCATTGCTGTCCCAGCATGCATTTCACCCTTCATTCTCACCTCAAGACAACCTGGCAGTGTGTCCTCCGCAGCGGCGACAAGCCTGATCCCCATCTGATTAACAGCCCCAAACGTGGGCCGACACATACATGTTAATTAACAGCTGCCAGGTATATAAATTGGTTAACCTGCATGGGTGGAATTAACATATTTCCTCTTTCGATAGATGCTCACAGATTCCTAATCCCCCCCCGGGGAGAGCGTAGAGTGGGAGGGACGGGAGGCAATCTGGCGGGGGGATGTGAACATCAAAAGCAGGTCCCCATGTGGGTGCATGCTTAGCACTGGGTGCAGGCTAGGGGCCATTCCCGTGATGTGACCCCCCCCAGGCCTGCCATGCATCCCCGTCTCTGAAATCAATACAGAAATCAAAGCGGGGAGCAATTCGGCACAACATAAAAGTACAGCCCCCTCACCCCACCCCTCCCCCAAAAACAAAAAACCCCAGTCAGTCCACACAGACATGACAGAGATTAACAAGGTCTTCCTTTATCATATTAAAACCATGAATATGGAGGGAGTGTGATTGGTGGGGCTGGGAGATTTTTCCCATTTTGGGGGTGTCAGAACAAACGCTGCAGGACATGATGGAGTGACACACGCTCACCTTTCTGTAGACAATCATGTTGGGGGAGTCCTCGTCTGGGTCGGCTGTCCCCACCCCCCCCTGGTCCCGGGACGCCTGAGCCATGTCTGTGGTCCCCGGGCTGCAAAAACACAAGGTGGGGGGGGGAGCTGATTACACTATAAAATTAATTGACAGGTTCTCCACTGAGACAAAATGACAACTCAGCATCGTGTTCTGACCCAAAAGCCTGCGACAGAGAACACCAAGCCGAAGTCTGGGGAGCCTGGGGAGAGACGGCTTTACATTTTGTAGGTCAATGTTAATAGGATAGTTATCAGTGCCTGGGTCCAGAAGGGGGTGGACTTGAGTCCTGTAATCATATCACCGGACAGTGGTGGGCTTGAGTCCTGTAATCATATCACCGGACGGGGATGGGCTTGAGTCCCGTAATCATATCACCGGATAGGGGTGGGCTTGAGTCCCGTAATCATATCACCGGATGGGGGTGGACTTGAGTCCCGTAATCATATCACCAGACGGGGATGGGTTTGAGTCCCGTAATCATATCCCTGGACAGGGATGGGTTTGAGTCCCGTAATCATATCACTGGACAGGGGTGGGTTTGAGTCCCATAATCATATCCCTGGACAGGGATGGGTTTGAGTCCCGTAATCATATCACTGGATGGGGTGGGCTTGAGTCCCGTAATCATATCACCGGACGGGGATGGGCTTGAGTCCCGTAATCATATCTCTGGACAGGGGTGGGTTTGAGTCCCGTAATCATATCACCAGACGGGGATGGGCTTGAGTCCCGTAATCATATCCCTGGACAGGGGTGGGTTTGAGTCCCATAATCATATCACTGGATGGGGGTGGGCTTGAGTCCCGTAATCATATCACTGGACAGGGGTGGGTTTGAGTCTCGTAATCATATCACTGGATGGGGGTGGGTTTGAGTCCTGTAATCATATCACCGGATGGGGGTGGGCTTGAGTCCCGTAATCATATCACCGGACGGGGATGGGCTTGAGTCCCGTAATCATATCACTGGACAGGGGTGGGTTTGAGTCCCGTAATCATATAACCGGATGGGGGTGAGCTTGAGTCCCGTAATCATATCACCAGACGGGGATGGGTTTGAGTCCCGTAATCATATCATTGGATGGGGGTGGGCTTGAGTCCCGTAATCACATCAGCATTGGACCCTTCAGCAAGGCCCTTAGCCCCAGCTGCTACTGGGATGCTGGATGCTGGCTCAACCGGCTGTCTGGTCCCCTCTTGTACTTCCCTTGTATATCGTACTTTGGACGAAAGAGGCCGTTAAATAAATAAACGCAGATGTACCAATGTGTCGCTTATAAACGCGCATGGCGGTGGAGCGTCCACGTGTGTGCGCACAGATAAGGCTCGACAAACAAAACACACGTACGAGATTCTTTCAACAGCACAAGATCCATTTGCCGTTCCGGCCCAGGCCAGTAATTATTAGCCAATACGGCGGGAGAATGCCGTCACCAGAGGCAGCGCACACAAACAGAGCACATTTAACGAGCTGCACAACGTGCCACGACCAAACGGTGACGTTCCCAGCCAGAGGATCCACTCTTGGATTCCATCCCGCCTATATCAGTTGACCTTTCCGTGCCGCGTATCCGCCGGCCTTGGCTCTTCCCTCGAGGGTCGCGACAGTGATAAGGAGGCCCCGGCAGAGTAATGACAGATGTGAGACGAAAACAAACCGGTCAGACCAGTCTGGGGAGACATGTCGGCCCAGGGGTTAGGAGCCGGCCGGCAGATCGTGCAGACAGCACACCCAGGACCCAGCCTGCCTAATCGGGGACGGACAGCTCCGCTAGGAACGCCGTTCTGTGAGCCGGCTCCATCCTGGGAGTGAACCCCGAGGTGACGGATTTCTGCCGAATGCCGTGTGCCAAACCGGCCTGCCTGCTTCCTCCTCTGCAGGCTGCCTGGACTATTTTACACCCTCAAGCTGACAGACGAGGGGTTTTAACTTGATTGTAGTGATTTATTCTGCTGCTTTACATTTTTCAAAAGAGAAGCTTTGCCAGAGGCAGGGTCCGTATGAAAGCTAGGACTTTGACGGAATTGCACTAGGAAAAGAGGTTACAAGCAGGGAGCTCAAAGACTAAATGCATTAGCTGCACATCCTGATGACATAACAAGCAGTGAGGAAAGGGGGCGCTGTTTCTGCAGCCTTGGAGGACAGCTGAGTACGGAGCGATGACCGGCAGGTGAGGTCGCTTCCCGAAAGGTTTCAGGAAGGTATCAACACGTACGGTGCTGCTGGGTGTTTTCCGGGGCCCGGTGCTGCCCCCCCCCCCCCCACCTGTTTATCAGAGGAGAATCCTTGCAAGGAAACACCAACTGCCGGTCTCTAATAAAATAAGTCCCGATTTGGCCCAATTCCAGAAAAGCAATTACACTGAAGACCTGACAAACTGGGCCCTCACCTCCCGCCCAGAACGCGACAGGCGCCCCCATGGCGTTAATGACACGCAGCAGAGAGACTGTTAAACCCACACAGCCCCCCCATACCGCAGGCATCTAAATATACCTGATTATTTATAATGTGTGCTTTAGAACAGAACCCTTCAATGGAACAGACAGCGCGTTTCAGCAGAATCAGGCACATGGAACCTGCACACAGACCCAGGTACATGGAACCAACATCACAAATCCAGGTACACACAAGTGACATCACAGACTTAGGTACATGGAAGCAACATCACAGAGCCAGGTACACAGAACTGACATCACAGGCTCAGGAACACTGAACCGACATCACAGTCTCAGGTACATGGAACCAACATCAGCAGAACCAGGTACCGGAATCAGCATCACAGACCCAAATACATGGAACTGGGATATTTGCTCGCTGGGATGTTAGATAACTGTAATTAATGTAATTTCTGGACACATACAGTATACAGTGGAGTGAGTGCACCCACACTAACCAGCCCAAGCTACCTGATACAGCACTTTTAACGGCAGCGAATGAAAGCCGCATTTCGCCGCGCTGTAGGATGTTGAAGTCGTGCGGCTTGTGTAACAGCATGGCGTGTTAGTGGGGGGGGTGGGGGGGGTGAAGGTGGAGCGCCAGAAGAGGCACCTGCTCCACGACACAGCTGCAGCGGTACCACAGGGCTGCGAATACCTTCTCCCAGGACTCCCAGTGACCCAACTTAAGATGAGGACACCACCTCCTCTCCATGACCCCCCCATGACCCTTTTACCCTCTTTCAGTCTCTCCCCACATTCCTCTAGAAGGAGAGCAGGTTAAAGTGTCCAAAAGAGGGTTTGTGTGATACCTGCATACTCAGCGACTTGTCTTTTTTTGTTTAATGTAATACACTAATCCGTTTGGGAGCTGAATCTGTTCTGTTTTGTTTTGTTCTGTTTTGTTTTTTGTTTTGATTTTGTGACTGGCGTGTGCGATTGATGTGTGTTGTTTTAAAAGAATGCAAATCAAAAATCAATAAACAGATATATATCACAAAAAAAAAGTGCAGCGAAACCCCTGATTCAGCAGAGCCTTCCCGCTACGGGCGGCGCTGAGATGGCAGGCAACCTCTCGCACCTCACACACCGGCCTCCGTGAAGGACCTGGGAGAAGCTTTTCCAGATTCTGCAGTTTGAAACTCCAGCGACTAGAGGCGCCAAAGACGAGCCCCAGAGGGGATGCGAGGGATTCAAGAACAGAGATCAATAAATGGAAATAACGGTAAATAACAACAAACTAGAAGGAGGTAGAAGCTGAGTGCATCATTCCAGCTTGAGGGGAGGAAGAGCAGCCAGAGCAGGTGGTGAAGAAGAACCAGCACTGAGTCGGTCACATTACAAGCCACTTCCTACAGGACTATGTGCAAAAGTATGTGATGATACTGAGAACAAGGAAACCATATAGATACCAGCAACAAGTCTGCAAGCGGCGGCAGGAGACACGGTGCGTCGAGCACTCACACGTATAGGGGGGTATTATGGGAAGACAAGTTGGTGGCAGTAGTCTGAGCTGACAGGGGGCGCTATTCTCCCCTTCCCCCCCACTAACATCCTTCGTTTTCTCCTGCCACTACCCCGGTGTGTCAGTCTGAAAGCAGCGTTCAGCCAGAGAGACCATAAGATGGCCGATGTGACAGTCCTCCAGCCCAGGAGAACAAGACATGGGCATGAAGTAGTTTGCGAGCAGCTCTGGGGACGGCGGTCACCTCGCTCATTCAGGCTACAGGCCGCGCATGCGACACTTATCAGGAGGGGGGCAACCTGGCTCACGGCAACTGGTCCCACACAGAAAGCAACTTCCAACACCCTGCCTGCTTTAACTGTTAAACATTTATATTTACAGGGAATGCAAACACACTGATATACGCACAGCAGCTGGGTACAGAGCTATAAAAACTCACTCAAGTATCCTAACCCTGTAGAGTGTGGGCTGCCGGACCCCAGGCTCGTCCGAAGCAGCCTAACTTCATAGCCCCTTTGCGCACACCCTGCCAAAATGGATCGATTTTCAACTCCCGCCTAAGTGGAGATGCTCTGCACACGCAGCATGGGCACACGATTTAACACACACCCCTCCTACCAGCTCACCACCCCCGGAAAGCCCAGATCTGTAATCCAAGCGCCCTCCCTGACTCCCCACCTGCCCCGGGGAGCATTCTTTACCTCAGTGAGAAATCAGCGCCTTGTCGGGCTCCTCGCAGCTCCGCTTCCCTTAGCAACGGGGAGAAGGCAGGTTCATGGCAGCGGCGTCTCGAGGAGGAAGGAGCGACAGAGCTGGGAGAACGACGAGGAGAAGGGAAAACCCGGAGATGCTGGGATTCTCACTGCAGTATTTCTCCTGACAGTTCCGGGGTGGATGTCAAGGAGTGAAGTGAACAGGCAGGTAGACCCTTGCATCTGTGCATGTGTGTGTGTGTGTGTGTGTGTGTGTGCGTGTGTTTGTGAGAGAGAGAAAGAGAGAGAGAGTGTGAAACAGAGAAAGAAGGAGGAGAGAGACTGAGGTGGTTTGTGTGTCTCTCCTGCTGCCTGCGTGCAGCCACAAAGCTCTCAGAGGAAGCAGAGATTTTATACACGGGGAGAACATGAGAGAGAGAGAGAGAGAGAGAGAGAGAGAGAAGGGGGAGCAGGGGAATGAGGATAAAAGAAAAAAGAGAGAGTGGAAAAGGTTCAGATGCTGTGGAGAGCAATAGAGCAGGACAGAGACTCCCAAGCAACGCAAAAGAGCAGAGAATCCAAACCACACATACAGGACCCTGGCAAGTTTGAAAGACAGAGACCCTGAACTGCACAGGATCACGGACTGGGCGGGGAGGGGGGTGTTGAGCCTATAAACAGCAGTATCGCCCATGCGAGACGTCGAAGTCATGCGGGAGCGGACTTTATGGGAGGATAATACCAGGAAGCCACAGAGGCTGAACCAAAGAGGCAAAATGAGGAAATCACTTAAAAGGAGCAGTGAGCCTCTCATTGGCTACTGGAGTTTTGTCCTCAGACAGATGCTGTGTCAGTAATTCAGTAATTTTCTCTCTCTCTGTCTGTCTCTCTCTCCCTCTCACTCAGTTCAACTCAATTTAACTCACATTGCTCCTATTAGCCAAGCATGTGCCAAATACATTTATATTTGGCACATTATAAATATATATATAAATATATATATATAAGAGAGAGAGAAAATGACTGAATATAAAGTGAAGATCAGGGCAGCCGGACAATGAAGGGATCGAACATAAACATAAAAACATGATCTATGACCCACACTTATTAAAATGGCTCAGAAAGAAGATCTGTGAGGAACTGCAGAATGAGGTGTCTGAAGATGCATATGTGTTAGATCTGTGTTAGGTGATAGATCTGAGTGGTCATTTTAGGGCTGGGATATTTTTGGGATTCTGAAGAGTAAATCTGCCCACAATTACAATAATAGAATTAGTGGCTGAGTCAAACGCTACACAGGGTCAAGCCAGAGTCAGTGGTGCACGAGCTCCGCCCAGCGAGGGCCCATCCTGGATTGGTTCCCATGGGATGGAAGATGCAGGTGTATGTGACTACAAGCAGTCATTGTCATTAGGTGGAGTTACAGGATCAAGGAGCCAGACCCAGCAGACATGGACCACATAGACTGAGGCTCTGGCTTCTCCTGCTCCAATGGATCCCATGGAAGAAACGTGGAAGAAGCTTTCAGAATGAGAATCGCATGCTAAAGGCAGCCTAGAGTTAATCTTCGCAAGCTTCCAGCTACCAGGGCAGGACGTGGCTCCGACCCCGATGACAGAAGCAGGGAGTTTCTCCCTGGATATGGTTGGAACCCTTGAGATAGAACTTTTTGACACTTTTTCCAGATGCCACTCACACCAAAGCCATCACCAAAACATAACAGTCCCACTACATTCATAAGAAGCAGCTTTATTCTGGCTGTTCCCTGCTAATTCCAGGAAAAACTACAACAATAAACAGCAATGCTCAAACCTGGGAGCGATTAATGAACTTTATTTTCGCTATTTTGTTTTTGTTTGTTTATCCTCCTGAGTATTCAGTTACGATAGTCTGTATTTCTCTCTAATTCTTAAAACGACAACATAAAATAAAAGGGAATTCATTAGAAAGGGATAAGGAATATGGGCCTAAAACATAAAAATATTTTATATGTAATATTGAGGAGTCACAAACTGTTTGTACTGAAAATAAGCATCAAAACCAGAAATTAAAGTCAAGTGAATGTGGTATTTGGATGGTTACAGTAATGGATCTTAAGGATTTGTGTCCAGTTAAGTTCTGAAGCTGAAAAGGGCATTGGAACAACTGGGCAAATTCACAGTAAACAGGCTCGTCTGGTGGGACGACTCACCGGTAGAAAGCATGGACACGTGTCAGATGGGGCGCGGGCCGGTCAGGCGTCCGCCGCTCGCAGGACTCACAGCTGGATAGCAACATGGCCGCCCCACGTTCATCCCCTGATCCTGTCCGCAGCGCCTCCACGCATCTTCACCCGCTACTTCCACTTCTCCCCAAAATGTATGAGCTCCAGGAAAGCAGAAGGTCAGAGGCGCCGCACGGAGAGCAAACATGCTCTGCTCAGTGCTGGACCTTCTGTGCTCTTTGAACCAAACGCTGTTACTGGGCAGACAAAGAAACACACCAATGAGATTAAGGCTACAGAATCCCGTATATACCAGCATGTCATTCGTTAAGCAGCAAGCTCTAAACAGTGCCCTAAATCTCAGCAAAACAGCTTCAACCTAAGAGTCTCTTTTGTGATGTTTTATGGCACAAATAGGACCAGAATCCAAACCATCTACTCTATATATTGGGGTGTTTGATACTCGGACACCAAGCAACACCGATGTCCCAAGTGGTGCTCAGAGAGGACAGATGAGTGATCTTAGGTGGACAAGGGTGCGGGGACACTGTACAGAAGATGAACAGATGGGTGACGTTAACCCCCCACAGTGATGTGGGACTGGCCATAAAGAACCAAAGAGCCTCCATGGAATCACATGACCAAACAAATGTCTCCATGTTGCTTTTGAAGGCGTGATTCTTTTATGAAATTAAATTAATATAGTTTAACAAGGAACAGAACACATTCTTGGTCTCTTAATTCTGTATCCCTCATAGGCCACTTTGCACCTCTGACAGGAGCAGCAGTGGCTCTAATTGGCTTTAAAAGAGGAATGCTTAACACCGGCCAATGGCGAGTCAGCTGGGGGTATATGAACCCGCCTCTCACCTGCTATGAGGTCATAGCGCCACGTCAAGTCCTGCCCCAGATTTCAGTGTCAGCCGAGGGGGACGCAGACCCAGACGAGCCCCAGGACCACACCTTGGAGCAATGGTACCAAGTGTGACAGCCAGACCAGCTGTATCCTCCACAAACAACCCAAAGCAAAGAAAGGAAAAGTCAGCCAGAGAAGACAGGGCTTGTCAATAGAAGAGATGGAAGATGTGGGGGCATTATTTTTCAAACAAATGCTCTGTGTTAAAGTCATGCAACAGACACTGTCTTAGGAAAAGTTGTGCTTTTGTTACTTTTGGACAAGATCTAATGAAGGGAAAACAGAGATTTCGGTCACGACCCTCAAACCGTAGCCTGACGGAAGGACGAGGACAGTCATGACAGCTGGTCTGACACCTGGGTGTGTCATGTGATGGAGCTCAGCCTCCCCAACCCCAGAGTCTGCAGCGGCAGTACCTGCCTGTCCTCTTGAAGACGCAGTTAAAATTCAATGCTGGAAAACAAATCTCATTCCTGCCCCCTGCAGGATGTTTGAAGAGCTACATGCACTGTATTGATTTATTCTGCCCACCTGTCATCCCTAACCTGCTGTGAGGAACTTTCCAGATACGGGTAACCCTCGGCCAACTCGACTGGAGGAGGGGCTACGGTCGCACCCTTTCTTCACAGCTGTTGTCATCACAGTCCTCCTGGATTATTTATTAAATGCCAGAACCCACAGCGACATCAGGGCACGACATCAGTCCAGGTGTATTTAGTATTTTAGTTTATTTTAGTATTTTTATTAACAACAACACAGACAAAGGATGGTACAACCACAGAAACAGGAAGCCAGACTTGGAATTCCACAGCATTAGGAATCACATTATTATTATTAAGGGCTGTGGGCTACTGTTTATACAGTCTGATAAGGCAGAGTGTGACATTTCACCCTGAAGTTTGGCAGCACCCTTAAAACATAGGTGATGCTCATCAAAGGAGATACTAATCTTGGAAACGACTGTTGATTCTAAACAGCCTCAAAATGCAGACGATGCCAACTAAACACCGCTGAGTCTTCCGTGAACAGTGTAAACACAGGCGATGGCTGCCTGCACACGCTCGGTGATCTGAAGGCACTCGTCACGGAAAATGGGAAAGGCACGAAAGAGGCATTCTGATGGGCCACAATGGGGATTTCGACCATCAACACCAGGGCTCTCACGCCATCTTTCAGGCGTTGCTATTGATCAGCGATTGATCGGACAGCAGACACCGTGAATGGAGGAGCTGGAATTAAAGCTGTGGTGGGGGGGGGCATTGAGCTGCTGACTCCAACACCCCAGGTAATGTTAGAGCCCCTCAGCAGTCCAGACTGCACTGCTCCAACCACAAGCAGCTCTGCATTTTTAAACCGTTTTTTATTTACAGTTTATTTATTGACCTGCACACGAGCTCCAGGGGATTTTAGCCAGCAGGTTTTCCTAGTTTTAAAGAGAAAACAGCTATTTTTAATTAAGTATAACCATGATTTTTTTTTCTTTTTCATTTAAAACACA